CTGCCCAGGTTAGGGGTAACACGCGGGGAGGGCTGCCAATGCATGCCATCGCATGCCAATGTATGCCAACGCATGCCAATGCATGCCAATGCATGCCAATGCATGCCAACGCATGCCAACGCATGCATATGCATGCCAACGCACGCCAATGCATGCCAATACATGCCAACGCATGCCAATGCATGCCAACGCATGCCAACGCATGCCAATGCACGCCAATGCATGCCAATGCATGCCAATGCATGCCAACGCATGCCAATGCATGTCAACGCACGCCAATGCATGCCAACGCATGCCAACGCATGTCAACGCATGCCAACGCATGCCAATACATGCCAGCGCATGCCAACGCATGCCAACGCATGCCAATACATGCCAACGCATGCCAATGCAGCCTATGCATGCTAACGCATGCCAACGCATGCCAATGCATGCCAACGCATACCAATGCATGTCAACGCACGCCAAAACATGTAAAAACATGCCAAGGCATGCCAGTGCATGTCAATGTATGCCAACGCGTGCCAATGCATGCCAACGCATGCCAACGCATGCCAATGTATGCCAACGCATGCCAACGCATGCCAACGCATGCGACTGCATGCCAAAGCATACCACTTCATTCCAAACCCTCCCAATGCATGCCAATGCATGCCAACGCATGCCAACGCATGCCAATGCATGCCAATTCATGCCAATGCATGCCAACGCATGCCAAAACATGTCAATGCATACCACGGCATGACAACGCAAGTCAACACATGCCAATGAATGCCAATGCATGCCATAGCACGCCAACGCATGCCAATGCATGCCAGTGCATGCCAACGCATGCGACTGCATGCCAAAGCATACCACTGCATTCCAAAGCATGCCAATGCATGCCAATGCACGCCAACGCATGCCAATGCATGCCAACGCATGCCAATGCATGCCAATGCATGCAAAGGTGAGGGTAGCGCGTGCGGAGAACACAGTCGACTACCCGGGGTATGGGTAGCGCACGGGGAGTGGTGCTTTGTTAGGGGTAGCATTTGGAGCGGGAAGGTGAGGGGTCAACACATGAAGGGCCAAGGCCCCAACATGAGGGGGTCAACGCATGAGGGGCCCAAGGCCCCACCATGAGGGGTCAGGTCATGAGGATCCAAAGCCCCGGCATGAGGGGTCAACGCATGCAGGGCCAATGCCCAAGCATGAGGGGGTCAACGCATGAGGGGCCAGCCAAGGCCCAAGCATGAGGGGGTCAGGGCACGAAGGGCCGAAGCCCCAGCATGAGGGGTCAACGTATGAAGGGCCAATGCCCCAGCATGAGGGGGTCAACGCATGAGGGGCCAGCCAAGGCCCAAGCATGAGGGGGTCAGGGCATGAGGGGCCGAAGCCCCAGCATGAGGGGTCAACGCATGAGGGGCCAATGCCCCAGCATGAGGGGGTCAACGCATGAGGGGCCAGCCAAGGCCCCAACATGAGCGGGTCAGGGCATGAGGGGGCCGAAGCCCCAGCAGGAGGGGTCAACGCATGAGGGGCCAATGCCCCAGCGAGGGGGGGGTCAACGCATGAAGGGCCAATGACAGAGCATGAGGGGTCAAAGCATGGGGGGTCGAAGCCCCGGCATGAGGGGTCAACGCATGAAGGGACAATGCCCGAGCATGAGGGGGTCAAAACATTAAGTGCCAGCCAAGCCCCCAGCATTGCGGGTCAGGGCATGAGAGGCCGAAGCCCCGGCATGAGGGATCAACGCCTGAAGGGCCAATGCCCCAGCATGAGGGGGTCAACGCATGAGGGGCCAGCCAAGGCCCAAGCATGAGGGGTCAGGGCATGAGGGGCTGAAGCCCTGGCATGAGGGGTCAACGCATGAAGGGCCAATGCCCCAGCATGAGGGCGTCAACGCATGAGGGGCTTGCCAAGGCCCCAGCATGAGGGTCAGGGCATGAGGGGCTGAAGCCCTGGCATGCGGGGTCAACGCATGAAGGGCCAATGCCCCAGCATGAGGGGTCGACGCAAGAGGGGCCATTGAAGGCCCCAGCATGACGGGGTCAGCGCATGAGGGACCGAAGCCCCGGCATGAGGGGTCAACGCATGAAGGGCCAATGCCCCAGCATTAGCGGGTCAGCGCATGAGGGGCCGAAGTCACGGCCGGAGGGGTCAACGCATGAAGGGCCAATGCCCCAGCATGAGGGGTCAACGCATGAAGGGCCAGCCAAGGCCTTAGCATCAGCGGTCAGGGCATGAGGGGCCGAAGCCCCGGCATGAGGGGTCAACGAACAAAAAGGCAATGCCCCAGCATGAGGGGGTCAACGCATGAGGGGCCAGCCAAGGCCCCAGCATGAGCGGGTCAGGGCATGAGGGGCCGAAACCTTAGCATGAAGGGCCAACGCATGAAGGATGAGAGGCCAATGCCCCAGCATGAGGGGTCAACGCATGAGGGGCCAGCCAAGGCCCCAGCATGAGCGGGTCAGGGCATGAGGGGCCGAAGCCTTGGCATGAGGGGTCAACGCATGAAGGGCCAATGCCCCAGCATGAGGGGGTCAACGCATGAGGGGCCAGCCAAGGCCCCAGCATGAGCGGGTCAGGGCATGAGGGGCCGAAGCTTTGGCATGAGGGGTCAACGCATGAAGGGCCAATGACCCAGCATGAGCATGAGGGGTTAGGGCATGAAGGGCCGAAGCCCTGGCAAGAGGGGTCAACGCATGAAGGGCCAATGCCCCAGCATGAGGGGGTCAACGCATGAGGGGCCAGCCAAGGCCCCAGCCTGAGGGGTTGAAGCGTGAGGGACCAAGGCCCCAGCATGGTGCGTCGACGCATGATTGGCGAATGTTCCAGCATGAGGGGGTCAACGCATGAGGGGCCAGCCAAGGCCCCAGCCTGAGGGGGTCAGGGCATGAAGGGCCAATGCCCCAGCATTAGCGGGTCAGCGCATGAGGGGCCGAAGCCTTGGCATGAGGGGTCAAGCATGAAGGGCCAATCCCCCAGCATGAGGGGGTCAACGCACGAGGGGCCAGCCAAGGCCCCAGCATGAGCGGGTCAGGGCATGAGGGGCCGAAACCCTAGCATGAAGGGCCAACGCATGAAGGATGAGAGGCCCATGCCCCAGCATGAGGGGGTCAACGCATGAGGGGCCAGCCAAGGCCCCAGCATGAGCGGGTCAGGGCATGAGGGGACGAAGCCCTGGCATGAGGGGTCAATGCATGAACGGCCAATGCCCCAGCATGAGGGGGTCAACGCATGAGGGGCCAGGGCATGAGGGGCCGAAGCCCCGACGCATGAAGGGGCACTGCCCCAGCATGGTGGGGTCAATTCATGGGGGGCCAGCCAAGGCCCCAGCATGAGGGGTCGACGTGTGAGGGACCAAGGTCCCAGCATGGTGGGTCGACGCATGAAGGGCAAGCTCCAGCATGAGGGGTAAGAGCATGAGGGAACGAAGCCCCGGCATGAGCGGTCAACGCATGAACACAACGCCTGGAGTTGGCAAGACGATCTTCTTCAATAGTGCAAGACTGGCGAAGGCCCACCCCCATACAGCCGTACCAGGGCGCTGCCTTGTGGAGGTAATGCACCTCGTGCGCATGCCAAAGAATAACCTCGTTCGTAAGGCAGGTATGGAGGAGCTGGGAAACGACGTCCAGCTTCCTGATATGTCGAGTAGGCAATTGCTCGCTCGACATGGTAATTTTCAAGCGGGGTTGGGAGGACCCCTATTTGAAACCAGATTGCCTGCGTCGCCCCTGTGGCGTAACTCCAGAGGGCTCGGGTGAGGTGCTCTTCGGAGATCGATGGTCTCCTTACAGGCGCCCCGTGCGTCCTCACCCGACTACCCAACAGGAGCCGTGCGCAGCCTTGGCACGGGGAGGAGGAGGAGGAGGAGGAGGAGGAGGAGGAGGAGCAGCAGCAGCACTTGGCGCTCACGAAAAGGAGTCGCGTTTCAGGGAGGGCCTCGCCTTCGGCGCGCCGCGCCCTCCGCGGGGAGGGCGGCGGGAGCCAGCAGAAGTCAAGCAGCGGCGGGTCCGCTGGCGGAACGCAGACGCGGCGATAGGGGCGAGTCGCCCAGGGGGGGAGCAACGCATGCACAGCCAACCCGCATAGGAAGGACGGGCAACCTTCCCAAGGGTACCCATTGCATCCGTGCCTCCTGGGTCCATCCTTGGCCCCCTTTCGTGGGCCGCGCCCCGCTCGAAAAAAACCGAAATGGGCGCCCAAGGTCCTTGCATCCTTATCGCGCATCCTGATGAGACGGACCCAGTGTATCCAGGGTCGCCGATGATCTATGTATTCGGCGAGGCCCCCCGGGCGAATACTTGTAATGCCCGCCTCTGGGTTATTCGCCATTTATCGTCGCCGCCGAGGAAGAAAAGGCGGAAGGCGGCGGAAGTAAGAGTGAGACGTCATCATGTTTGGGTTCAGGGTTCAAATGGGGCGTTCCAAGACGGGCCTTGCCTTCGAGGATCGGAAGAGTTGTAATCTCTTCCGCGGCGGAAGGTCGGCGGAAGCAAAGCGCGGCCGCTACCGCCAGCGGAAGCCAGCAGAAGGCTGGCGGAAGGCGGCGGAAGTAAAAAGTTGCCCTCCAAGAGATGCCAACATGTTCGGGTTCAGGGTTTCCGAACTCGGCCAAATGGCCTTACCTTGTTCGATCCTGTCCTGGGGTGCCCTAAGCCGAAGGGCTTCGCTGATTCGCTCGTCGGGATGTTTTTGGGGTTTCAGAGAGTGGTGGTTCTTCTGCCTTCTTGCAAGGGGAACAAGCAGAGGAAGGTGAAGACGCCGGGCGGCAGGCTGGTCTTCCAGCAACTCAAGAAGAAGGCGTCGCCGCCGCTGTGCGGCGACTGCGGCAAGGCGCTCATCGGCATCCCCTGCCTGCGGCCGAAGGAGTACCGGCTCCTGAAGAGCCGCGAGAAGCGCGTGAACCGGGCGTACGGCGGCTCCCGTTGCGCAAGTTGCGTGCGCTCGCGCGTGATGCGGGCGTTCCTCATCGAGGAACAGAAGTGCGTGAAGCAGGTGCTGGCCGAGAAGATGTCCCAGAGCAAGGAGAAGGATTCGCCACTGAAGCGCCCAGCTCCTGAGGCAAGCAGGCCTTGAGGTTTCTTGCCGTTCTCAGACTCCCAGGGCCCCCCGCGGGCCCCAGGACCAGTCGAGAAACGACTCAGGATGAAGAGCCGATCCCCGGGGGAGGCCCTTGGGTCCAGGGCCCGTTTCCCTCAGGACCCGCTTGTTTCCCAGACCTCCGTCGCCTCGCGTTTGTCCCGCAGCTCCGGAGGTGTTGGCCAGTTCCCTGGGGCCACTTCGACGTGGCCCAGCTGGGGGCCCCCAGGGGTCGAGAAGCATCAAAAGCCTTCCGCCGCCTTTTTGTGTCACGACGCGAAGAGGTCAGGGCTCAGTGGCAGAGGATGCGCCCAAGAAGAAGAAGACCAAGGCCTGAGAGCGGTGGCACCTGCGGCCAGAAGGCGGCGCCGGCGGCCCGCCCGTGGGCGACGGCGCCGTGGGCGGGAGGCGGGGCCGGCCATTGGTGCCTGCACGGTCGTGGTGGTTCGAGAAGGAAAAAGGAGCACTGAAAAGATTTCGCATCCAAAAAATATTCCAACGGTAGGACCCCACATGATAGATTTTTCAGCTTGACTAGAAATCTCCTCCTGCTTCCTCTTTCAACCCCATTATGCCTTCTCCTTCTCCTCCTGCCGCATCTGCCTCCTGCCTCCACATACATACACACATACACACATACACACATACACACATACACACATACACACATACACACATACACACATACACACATACGCACATACGCACATACACACATACACACATACATACATACATACATACATGCATGCATGCATACATACCTACCTACCTACCTACCTACCTACCTACTTACCTACCTACCTACCTACCTACCTACCTACATACATACATACATACATACATACATACATACATACATACATACATACAAACACACATGCATGCATGCATGCATGCATGCTTGCATACATACATACAGACATACAGACATACAGACAGGCAGACAGAGAGACAGACAGGCATGAATGCATACATACATACATACATACATACATACATACATACATACATACATACATACATACATACATACATACATACGCACATACATACATACACATGTAGATGTGTGTGCGCGAATGCATGTACGATTACCCCCTCAGAAACGTCAGTGTAAAGGGGGCGAAACAAGCACGAAGTCGGGTATCTGGGCGTGCCAGAGCGGGCGCGGTGGCCACGCGCGGCCCCGCCCAACGGAGGCGCATGCAGTTGAGGGGCGTGCGCAAGCGGGCGCGGTGACCACACGCGATACCTCCCTGCTCCCTCCTCCTTGTCCTCTCCTCGCCACGAATCCTTGTCTCCATCCTCCTTGTCCTCTCCTCTCCTTGTCCTCCTTGTCCTCTCCTCTCCTTGTTCTCCTCCTTGCCCTCTCCTCTTCTCCTTGTCCTCTCCTCTCCTTGTCCTCCTCCTTGTCCTCCCTCCTCCTTGTCTCCCTCCTCCTTGTCCTCTCCGGATCATGAGAGAAAAGAGCCATGAGGGTTTTTAGCCGTTTTCGGGGTCCTGAGAGCCCTCGCGGGGCCCAAAGGCTGGTAAAAAGATGGCACCGGATGAAAAGGTCGTCCTGGTGAAAGCCCTTGGGGTCCAGGACCCGTTCCCTTCATCATGGCAACAGCCATCTAAGCCCCAGTCCCCCGGGCAGCAACTCCATCTTCCCTCCACGAAGCAGGGGCCCAGAACACGTCCGCCTTCCCAAGCTTTCCCCGTCCTCGTTCCCTCCCTCAATCCCTCATCCGCGGGAGGAGGAGGAGGAGGAGGAGGAGGAGGAGGAGGAGGAGGAGGGGGAGGAGGAGGACGAGGAGGAGGAGGAGGAGGGGGAGGAGGAGGAGGAGGAGGAGGAGGAGGAGGAGGAGGAGGAGGAGGTGGAGGAGGAGGAGGAGCGGCCCGCCCGCGCAGCCTGCGGACAGGCTGGTACGGGAAGCTGATCCCGTCCTCGCAGCTGAAGCGCTCGCGGGCGGACCACCTGCTAGGCGGGCCGCGCGCTCGTGCCTGACGCCGCACGCCCGCTGCTGCCGCCGTGCGGAGGGGGAGGGCGAGGACAGGCCAGTCATTGGCAGCTTCCGGCCTCCCAGGGGCCCTAAACCTCGGAACGGTCGAAGCGGGTGCAGAAAGAATGGCCCCACAGAGACCGACAGCATTCTCTTGGTCATCGTGAGCAGGACTCGCGGTCGATGTCGCCGCGGACGTTGTCCATTCGAGACAGAAGGCCGCCTGGCGCCAACAGCGGCCGCTGCCGATCTTGGACAACGTCTGTTGTTGGGCATCGTGCCCATTGTTCCCCACATGCTTAGTGGGGTTATTGTTTTCTTCCCACCCGCGTCGCACCCACGTTCACACACCCGCCTCCCCTCCTCACCCTTCCGCACCTCTCCTCATCACTCCTCCACCACGCTCGACATACACAGTACATCTGCGCCCTTGTTTCCCACATGTTTCGCGGGGTTCGGGTTTTCGTCCCCACATGTTTCGTGGGATTCTGGTTTTTTCCCCTGCCGCGTCGCACCCGCGTCTCACCTCCCTCCTCTCCTCCTCTCCTCATCTTCCTTCCTCCCCCCACCCCTGAGACACACGCCCAGATACAGCCGCACATGCATCATACACATGACACACACACAACACAATACATACGCGCAGGATTCGCAGGGCTTGGCAGGCGTGGCAGGCGTGCTGCATCATACACCCAAGACGTATGCGGACGGTCGTCCAGGCACAGCAGTCGTGGCATTTTCTCGACACCACAGGGGGTGCCCAGGGGGTGGTCTCTCACCGCGGCCGCTATGCGTGACGGGCGTCCAGGGTATAGCAGGCGTGCCATTGTCTCGGCACAGCAGGCGTATCATTTTCTCGACATCATAGATGGTGCGCAGGGGGTGGTCTCTCACCGAGGCCGGTATGCGCGACGGTCGTCCAGGCACGGCAGGCGTGGCATTTTCTCGACACGATAGAGGGTGCGCAGGAGGTGGTCTCTCACCGCGGCCGCTATGCGCCACGGTCGTCCAGGGCTCAGAAGGCGTGGCATGTTCTCGGTACCGTAAGGTGTGCGCAGGGGGTGGTCTCTCACCGCGGCCGCTATGCGCGACGGTCGTCCAAGCAAAGCAAGCCTGGCATTTTCTAGACACCACAGGGGGTGCGCAAGGGGGTGGTCTTTCACCGCGGCCACTATGCGCGACGGTCGTCCAGGCACAGCAGGCGTGGCATTTTCTCGACCTAGAGGGTGCGCAGGGGGTGGTCCCTCATCGAGGCCGCTATGCGAGACGGCCGTCCAGGCAAAGCAAGCGTGGCATTTTCTCGACACCACGGGGGGTGCGCAGAGGGGTGGTCTCGCACCGCGGCTGCTATGCGCGACCGTCGTCCAGGCACAGCAGGCGTGGCATTTCTTCGACACCACAGGGGGTGCGCAGGGGGTGGTCTCTCACCGCGGCCGCTATGCGCGACGGGCGTCCAGGGCATAGCAGGCGTGGCAGTTTCTCGGCACACCAGGCCTGGCATTTTCTCGACGCCACAGGGAGTGCGCAGGGGGGGGTCTCTCACGGCGGCCGCTATGCTCGCCCGTCGTCCATGGCATAGCAGGCGTGGCATTTTCTCGACACCACAGGGGGTGCGCAGGGGGTGGTCTCTCACCGCGGCTGCTATGCTCGACGGTCGTCCAGGCACAGCAGGCGTTGGATTTTTTCGACACCACGGAGGGTGCGCAGAAGGTGGTTTTTCACTGCGGCCGCTATGCGCCCGGGTCGTCCAGGGCGTAGCAGGCGTGGCATTTTCTCGACATCACACGGGGTGCGCAAGGGCGTGGGTCTCCCAGGGCATATGGACCCCCATCAGGGCACTCAGGCTCCCAAGGTTCGAACGGCGCCACCAATGGTATCAGCGAAGCAACGGCCACTTGCATCATTCTCGCAAGTTTCACGTCGGCTATCATCACGCCAGACATGTTATAAGTATGTGGGGTCCCTCGCTAGCGTAATTCCTATACCCAGTCTGGGCGTCCAAGTCACCGAGCCCCAGGGCAATCAAGAGGGCGGCCCCGAACGAAAGAACGGTCCCAGGGGAGGGGTCGAGATTGTCTGGGGCCCACATGCGGAAAAATCACGACGGGGGGACCTGGGGGATGGGGACGACGAGGAGGAGGAGGAGGAGGATCAGGATTTGAACGTGGGGAGGAGACGTGCAAGTTGTGTTGCGCTTTTTCCCGGGAGGCTTTCGCCCCACAGCTGGACTCGCCTCGAAGTCGCGATCAGAACGCTCTGCCTGCGGGGACGATGCCTCGAAAGGAGCCCTCTGAGGACTCGTAGCGCAGAAGAACGAAGATGGAGGAGAAGGGAGGAATTTTTCAAAAGGTTCGCACGTGTTTCAAGAGGTTTCCAGAGGCTGGAAGTTTCCAGAGGAGGGAGGGGACCAGAAGTGTCTCGCAGCATCTTTGGGGCGCGATTGGCATGCTATTGGGACCCACCTGGGGTCTGAGGATGTCGCGCAGCTGCCACCTCAGCCGTGTTGGTGTCGTCGTGGGCCATCTTGGGGCCGCGCTGTGTCGTCTGAGGGCCATCTTGGGGCGTCGTGGGCCCTCCTGACGCGTCTGTGGGCCTTTTCTGATAGCGCGGCGCAACGCTCTTGCTCAAGAAAGAAAGCGTTCCAGCGCGTCGCTTCAGGACATGGGCCAGGGGCACGACTGTGGACGTGTCAGCGAGCGTGTCTGGGGATTTGTTTGGGGACGTGCCCATGTCTACAAACGAATCGCAATACTCACATCCGCTATGACCTTGGTCGGATCACTGTCCGCTCCCACTGCGGTGGACCCTCAGAGCGCCTCCAGTTGGTAATTTCATGCTCTCTCGGGCCCCTCTGGAACTATGTTGGAGGCACCCCGGAACTCTTGGGCCGTCTTAGAGCCTTCAGGGCCGTCTTGCAGATTTAGGGGTCCGTCATGAGCCCC